TATTATTTAAAAAATATAAATGATTAGTTAATTATATTTTAAAAAAGAAAACAGATTAGAATTTAAAATACGGATGAAATCTGAATTTGGTTTAAATTTATGGATATCTGAATTGATTTTAGAATCCGAATTGGATCAAATTATGAATTTAAGTGATCATCTGTAAGATTTTTGAATTCGAATTATAAACTGGATTCAGTAATAGAAATTCAGATTTGATTCAAATGGCCTCCAAAATATCAGATCAGACCCCTATCAAAATGATATTAAAATGATAATTGAAATGACATCAAAATAATATATTTAGATGTCATTTCAGATATCATTTCAATATTAATTTAATATCAATTCAATATTAATATAATATCAAAATGATAATACTTTATTTTAATATTACATCGATATTGAATCAATATCGAAATCATGTTAAAACAATACCGTTAAAATAAACTTAACAATATCAATTCTATATTAATTAAAAATGTTAAGTTTCTGTAAAGATATAAACTTAATATCAATAAAGTATATATACTGTAAATCATTAAAAAAAAAAAAAAAAAAAATATTTGATAGTATTTATAATGAACTTGAATTAAATACTAATTAAATCAATTTATAATTTTTTTATTTACTTCATGTTTTAATCCTAGATATTAGGACAATTAGGGGCATGCCAGAAATCAGCTAATTTCTCTCAATTTGTAGCCTTAACCCCATCCCTGCCTGATTGAAATCTGATTGGCTAAAAAAATTATTACTATTAAATATTAAATATTATACATAATAATTAGTATTATATAATTATTTTGGCTTCTAGTAATTCAATTTGAACAAACTTTTTTTTGTTTTGTAAAGCTAGATTTATAGAACTAAACGAGTATTATAAATTAAAAAAAAAGTTTATTAAAATTGGATCACTAGAAGTCAAGATAATTGCATTATAATAATTATTATAATATAAATACAAATATCTTAAATATCTTAATTTCTAGCGATTCAATTTGAACAAACTTTTTTTTATTTTGTAAAGCTAGATTTATAGAGCTAAATGAGTACTATAAATTAAAAAAAGTTTATTAAAATTGGATCACTAGAAGTCAAGATAATTGGTTTAGTTATTATTAGTTTAGTTATAAATAGATTATCATTATGTCAATAAAATGACATAATGCCAAAAGATGAATTATAATGAGTAATGATAAGAGAATAGTAAAATTGAAGGAAATGAATTAATGAAAAGAGAATCAATATTTTGAAAACTAACATTTTGAAAAATAGAATACTTTCAAAACATGAAGTTAAAATATTCACAAAAGAAAAACTGATTAAAATATTATAATAATAGGGTTTCGATCCAGATCTGGTCGATCCGAATTCAAATTCGAATTCCCTTGTTTTTTGGACATCTGGATCTTACTTTTTTGTAACGGATGAATCCGTTTTTATTAATTTGAGCCAGCACTATAAATTTGGCCAGAGTTAGCAAATTTTGCAAACAGTTGATCTTTGACATTTAATATTAATTCTGGTTAAAATTATAATTTTGGTCAGAGTTAAGGTCAAATTTAGAATCTGGATTCAATCCGAATTCGCAAAAGAAGATCCGGATTCTATCTGAATTGCTTTAAAAAATAAGATTGAAACCCTATATAATAACTCAACCATTATAAACTAATCAATAATAATTAGAAATGATTTGATTCAGTGTTCGGAAATGACCTGGTCATTTGATCATTTAAATGATTTATAAAATCATTTGTCATTATTCATAATCATTTGTCATTTGGTCATTTCAATCATTTGATTTTGATTGGCTAATATTTATCACATAAATAATCATGTGACTATAATTAAAAAATAATGAATGTAGTGTAGGCAAAAATCATAATGCTGGCCAAAATTACATTTAAATGACCAAGATCATTTGTCATTTGAGCATTGAAATGACATGTCATTTGTCATTTATCATTTGAATCATTTGGTCATTTCAAGTCATTTGCCGAACACTGATTTGATTAATATTAATCAGAAATAATAATTTAAGAATCTTATAATATTCTAAAAACAGATATCTTAAAAGAATATTTTGAAAACAATATTTGGGAACAAAATATGCTGAAATATTTTGTAAGTATTAAAATTGAGAATAAATATTTAAAAGTGAAGTATTCTTAATAAGACATTTTGGATAAAAATATTTCTTAGAAAACAAATAAAAATAATTTATTTTTTTTAGAAACAAATAGTAGATAGATTATTTTCTAAAATACTTTAGTTTTGTTTAGAATATTTTTAATGTAACTTAAAAAGGTATAAAAGATGGAGGTTTTGGTTTTAGTTAAGTAACACCAAGTTTTGATTTGAAATTGAAAATATTAATGGAAATTTAAGAAATAAAAATGGGAATTAATAATTATATTAGTTGTTAATAAAGAGTTATCAATATGGTTTCATATTGAAAACCGTTTAATAATTAATAAAATTTAATATTTGAAATAAAATTAATGAAATAAAATAATGATATGAAATATTAATAAATAAAATACATAAAGAGAAGTTATCACCATTTGAAATTATAAGATCATGAATAATAAAAATTTAAACTAAGCGTAATAATTAAATAAAGTTATGTTTATCAGTATATAGCAGATGTCAGTGATAATATATATAATACAATATCAATTTTATTCTAAATTCTGATTGGCTAATATATGTATTACATAATGCTTATGTAATCTAAAATTATTTATGATAAATAGATAATATATTTTTAATTTTATTGAAATTAAATTATAGAAATTTTTTTTTTAAAGTTTTTCAAACTTATAATTTATCTAAAAAAAATGTGAAGTTTTAAATAATTTTATAAGTAAAAGCAAAATAATGATATGAATTTTAAGGATAATGTCAAGAAAAATTCATTTTAATAGATAAAGTTATAAATAATAAGAATACATATAAATAATAAATACAGTCGCCACTGGTTATAATGAACCTGTTTGTACCGAAAACTTGTTGTATTGAACCAAGTTTCACAAAACCAATTTTTTTATAATTAATTGCACTAGATATAACGAAATCACATAATAAATTACTATATATTGCATCTGAACTTATTTTAGCCAGCCCAAGTATATCAGTTATATTTTAGTATACTGAACTATCATGTAACTTTAATTAGTAATATAAAAGAATGGACTACCGGAAAAATTATTTCTGTTAGTATCAGATAAAATTTTCATTTAAATAGCTGGTAAATACTTAAAAAATCGATGAACATATAAATTTTAAATAAAATATAGTGTTATCTGTTATAATAAGTCATGTAATCATTTGAACTTTAAATATTACAGTATATGCTGCTATAATTTAATTGGATAAAATTCATATACCGAACAGTTCAGTATATAATATGAATATCATATATCGAATTCACCATATACTGAACCAAAACGCTTAGAACGGCAGGTTCGTTATATCCAGTGGCGACTGTACATAAAAATAAGAAAGACAATTCAAGTAATTCTTTCAACTAAAATTATAAATTTTAATTGAAAAAAGATAAGATAAAGAAGAACTCCAATAATCCTTTCAAAAAGAAATAATAGAATTAAAGAAGATGTTAAAAAAAGTTAATGGATAAAATGTAATAATCAGAAGACTATTACTGTAATATTTCACATGAATTTTTAAAATTTGATTTGATTTAAATTTAATTCAGACTCAATTTGATCTCTAAAAAATATTATCTTGGGATTTAGTAATCTAATTTTGATAATCTTTATTTTAAATTGATAGTGCTCATTAACCTAATTAAAATAAAAAAAGATCATTAAAATCAGACTGCTAAATTAAAAATTATTTGCACAATATGTTTTTACCCTTCAGGATTAATTAAGGTTATACTATGTCATAAATTGATTTATATGAAACACTAGTTACCAGTTTATAGAAAATCCTGAACATTTTTTATACAACTTATATTAGAATTTGCATAGAGTTTATATACTAATTCTAATCATAATTGCATATTTCAAAAGTATTTTCAAAATTTTTTATCTTATATATTCTGTTTTTAAGTGATTTAGTAATTAAATTTTAGCAAATTTAGATTCATTGGATTCATCTTAATAAGATGAATCCAATGGTAGTAAAATTATATTTTAGTATTAATATTAATCAAGTTATTGCTAAAAATGCATTTTACTATATCTTTAGTTAATCACTATATAATTACATTCATTGAGACCAAAAAAAAATTGGTATAATTATAAAAATATTATATAATATAAATAAAGGGAGGTTTTTAATAAGTATATTAGTAATTTAAACTAATGTAAATATACTTATAAAAGAATCTGATTATGTTATTATATTTTTCAGGTTTATAATCTTGCATAGTCTAAACATTCAAACGAACTTGTTTCAACTTATGAATATTCTCAAAATCAAGTAATCCTTTGACAATACCTTTCTATGGAACAATTGGCAGTTTTAAGAGGTTATACATATCATATCTTGTATCCTTCTATTTTACCTGATAGGCTATAGAGTTAACTGTTTATGGTACTTTTAATTTATCTAATGATAATTTAACTAATATATAGAAAAAAATTATTACTTAATTTTAAATATATTGGTTAAATAAAATTAAACTATTTATATTATAATATTTTTGTAATTAATAAATACTTAACTGCATAAAGAAATGCCTGATTTTTTTTTATTATTATATATATAAAAACTCATTAAAACTAATAATAATTTGAAAATGTTATATTCTAATATAAATGATAATAAAAAAAAAAAATATTATAAAATAAGGTAATATTATTAATATTATTAAACTGAATGTAATTATATTAATATAATTTATCATTAATTTTTATTATTAGTTTTAAATAAGATGATTAATAAAAAAAATAATTACTAAAATAAAACTAGTAATAATAAAAATAAAAATAGAACCTAAAATTATAAATCCATTAAAATAATTAATTTTTTTCTATAATGTTCAAATTTATAATAATCGAATTGGCATAATAATATTTCTTTATTGCCAGAATTAACAGAATTAAGAAATTGGGTGATATATATTTTCTTGATTTTGTTTTGAAATTGCTAACTCTATTACTACAAGAAAAATAGCTCATATTGTTAAAATGAATTACATAATAAAAAGAAAAAAAATACAAAATGTATTATATATCAAACTGGGTTAAATATTATATATGTTATATATGGTTTTTTGGTTAGTCATACCTTGTCTTAAAAATTACCTTATTTTAACACATTATCTAAGCATTGCCATTTTCTGTTGTTATAGCTGTATCATTGCCATTCTTAGTAGTCTTTTCCATTTCTTCTTTTTCTTTCTGTTCTTTTTCTTTTTGCTTTCTTCGCTCTTCTACTCTTCGAAGCGCTTCATCTGTGTCTATTGGTTTGGCTTCGCCAAATGGATTTGGTTTGGATGATCGCGGTGCAACATTTTCATTTGGGACAGTAGCTGAACTTCGTGGTTTAAGCTCAAGTTTTTTGCGCATTGGTGGAGATGTATCAGTAGTATCAGTATCAGTTGCTGATGCACGAATATTGTTAGAGTTTTCAGCTTTCGATTCTGGTGATGGACGCATATCATATTTTCGCACTGAATTGTATCTTTCCTCAGACTTACGCTCACGAAAACTGCTTGATCTACTATTATTAAAACCTCCACCTCTCCACTCTGTATCTCCTTTACGTTCGACCTTATCATTTCCTCCACGATCATTTCGTTCAATGCTACGATCCGTTCGATCAAACCTGTCACCACGATCACGTTCACCACGATCGATTCGATCACTTCGATCACGAAAACTACCACCACGTTCACCCCACTTGTCCTCTCTATGACCAAATTTATCATTGCCACCAAAACGATCACTTCTTGGAGAAGGAACTTGTGTTTCTCTTGGCACTTTCCGCCGCCATTCGCCAGCGGTACGATCTTCTCGCTCACGAGCTATTTATTGAATTAAAGTTTTTATAATGATTATTAAAGAAAATCATCCTAAAAATTTATCTGCTATAACCTACGTGGATCAGCCACACTAATCTTAACCGGTCTGTTTCCCAAATTCTATTACATAATAAATACCATTAAACAATATAAAATATATTAGTATTTTTTTTTTTTTTTTTAAAAAAAAAAAAAAAAAAAAAATAGAAACTATAGCAAGCGGGTTTATCAATGTAGCAGTAACTCAAAAAAATACATCTCATACCTCTCCACTCAGTTGCAGTGCTTTGGTTAATGATTCTAGATCTTCAAATTCGACATACCCAAAACCCTTTGGTTTATCATTATCTTTATCACGAAGAATTCTAATGTTAAGAATCTAAATTATAAAATTCCAATAAGCTATTTGTCTCAATTAATAAAAATTTTACATTAAAATCGGTATTTTACCTTCGAATCAATGAAAAATTTTTTTACTTGTCCTTCAGTTAAGTCATAAGGTAAATTACCAATATGAGCCGTATAAGGTGGTGATGTAGGAAGTTCTTGGGGAATTCGCTCAGAACGAGATGAAAACCTAGATTCACGTGGTGACTCGCGAGATTCATAGCGTGAATCTACAATTATACATTTATATTTTACTTATATATTACTATATAACATTCATTTATTTATTTGGAGAACAAAAGAAAGTACCTCTTGAATAAGTTCTTCTTTCAGAAAATCCTGATCTCCTATCCCCGAAACCACCTTTTTGACGATCTTCGTGATCACCGTAATCTATAATATGCCATTTCATTTTTTAAATTTTCTAATCCTTTTCTTTTTTTCATATAAAATACCAGAATTTAAATGAAAATTGATATTAAAAGTAAAGCCAATAAAATTTTAGTATTACCTGAGAATGCCGCGGCAGCTAGATAAAGCGAATGCTAACTGTTTAGATGTATGTGAACATTGTAAAATACATCAACACGCATTATATGATAAACTCACGCGCAGAGGGTAAATCTTCCATTTCATCAGCCCAAGAACCGGTTGCTATTGTTTTCAAAAATATTTTAGAGTTATTATTATTTATCAAAAGGAGGCAACAAAACTTTATATCGTACATACACTGATCTGCCAGAAATTCTGTCAAGGACATTTTAGTGCTTTTCTTTTTCGAACCTTGAGAACCCCACGTGTGGAAAACACAGATCGTGTTAAAATAAAAAAAAACTTTGAAACGAAAAAACAAATTCTTGAATAAAACATAAGTTAGAAACTCACCCATATTTAATATTACGAAGATGTTAAAATTATAGAATATCGCGCTAATAATAATCAAAAAAAAAAGGATGCAGAGAAAGCTTGCTTTTTTTTTTTTTTTTGTAAATCCGTTTCAAGTTGCACACCGTTTTGGTGGCTGAGATGAACGCACATTATGTACGAAGGTAATTTACATGATTTATCACGTGATATTAGTGATCAAAAATTTGTAAGAAAAGATCATCGATCATCGCATTGTAATCATGTGATCTGATAATACAGATAAAGGATTTATTGTAAGTTGTACTTTAAAATTAAATAATAAATTCTTTATATATTTTTTTTTTAAATATTATTCCAATAATTTTTTGCTACCTTATCAAACTTCTTCTTTATTGGGATCCAATCTTCACATATGTATTTCTTTATAAAGGTATCCATTAATTTCTTTACCAAAGGAAATAAATTCTTTATATAAAAAATTCTTTATTTAATAAAAGAATTATGAGATAAAATACTTGTTAAATATTAAATCCATTGTAAATGAAAAATAAATTTTTTTTTATTTTTTTTTTATTTACTCTCATAGGAATTGATATTTAATTATAGTAAAAAGAAATGAAAAATAAATAAAGTAATATACTACCAACCAATATACAGATATATATACTGTATTTATATAAAAAAAAAACAAAAAAAAATTATTACTATTAGGGCAGTGACAGATATTACCTAATATTCTAGGGGAAGGGGGTAATTGAAAATTTTAGGTTACATATACTATATAAGAAAATTATATATATAATATATCTTACTTGGGAGAGGAGGGGTAAGCTCTTATAATAAACTGATATTAGGTAATATCTGTCATTATCCTTATTACTATAAAGTATATTTTTACAGTTCTTTTAATAATAATAATCAATATTTTTACACTTTTATATTAAAAATAAGGTATTGCTAAATCTTACTAGTAGTGATTATTACTATCAGTAATTATTATTATTTAATTTTATTTAAATTATAATTTTAGTTTGAATTAAAAAATACTAATTGCAAAATTTTAATTTAAATATTAATATTAATCTTCTCAATTTTTTTTTACCTATATATTCCTTTTATTTTAACTTTCACAGGTCAAAAAGTGAAAAATCAGGCATCAATCAGTCACCAATCAGGTAGCTGATTGGTGACCGATTGGTGACTGATTGATGCCTAATTTTTCACTTTTTGACCTGTATTTTTTTTTTGCATTTTTAGCAAAATTATTATTTAAAAATAAAATTAAAAACCTAACTTCAAGACATTTATACATAAGCTAGATTTGGCTAGATAAAATTTTAGATTTTCTGCATAATCAAACAGTTTAGAAATTTAGATTACTTTGCTCTTTTAAACTTAAATTCTAGAATTTACTTTTTTGAATAGTTAGTTAAACTTATTTTTTGGATTTAAATTGAAATATAAGAAGAATTTTAGATATAACTTTAAATTAGTTTTTTATTTAGTAATATTTTTTATTTATTGTATTGTTTTCTTTATCTCAATAAAAAGTATTTATATTTAATATCTACTTTACAGAAACCTTAAATTTTTAAACAATACCGAATTGATATAGTAATGATGTTAAATATATATCGTAATAATATTTATTTGCAAATGATATCATTATGATATTGCAATGATATCATTTCAATATTAATTCAATATATCGAAATGATATCGTAAAGATATTTGCTTAAAGAGATATTAGATCGATATCATCTCGATATTGTTATAACAACAATAATTTTTTTGAAAAATAGGAAATAAATATGATATTAATAAGATATCATTTTAATATTAATTCAATATTAATATGACATCGTAAAGATATCACTTTATAATTATCTAATCAACATCATATCGACATTAACAAAATAAAAAATCGATGCCATTTTGATATTGTTAAAATAATAATAAATTTTTTAATAAATGCAATATCAATATAATATTATTTTAACATTAATTCAGTATCAAAACAATATCGTAAAGATATCACTTTATAATTATCTAATCGATATCTTATTGATATCGACAAAATAGCGAATCAACATCATTTTGATATTGTTAAAATAATAAATTTTTAAAAATGTAGTATAAATTTTATATATTGATATAATATTGTTTCAATATTAATTTAGTATCAAAAAGATATTATAAAGATATTATTACTTTTAAAATATTAATATCGTTAAATTCAATTTTATAATATTTTAATAATATGTAACTTAATTTAAAAGTTAATTTAAATAGATCAAAGTTATTATTATTTATTACAATAACAATTTTAATTAGATACAAATAAAGTATGTATTAATTCAAACTGAATGTTATACAACAGATCAATAATTCTATAATAAATTAATTCAATAAATTAAAAGCATAAGTTAAATACAATAGGAATTTAAAAAATTAATGATTGTAAGTCAAAACATTATGCTTTAATACTCAAGAATCATAATTCATCAACCCAAAGTTGAGGATTAACTGAATACCTTGCTTTAGATTCAGCGACACTGCCCAAATTGGATAGAATGTCACAGGTACGCTTTAAGAAGACTCATTATGATTCTCTTGTAAAAAAGATAAGTATATTTGAAAATACCAATATGAATTCACCTTAGAAGTTTGGCGGAAAACCTCTATAAACAACTGCAGTTTCATCATTACCAAAATCATTGAACTTAGGGATATAATGAAAAAGTTCATGAGAATGACGGCTTTAAAAAAAAAATACAAATATATTCTCAATTTTGATAATACACCCTTATTCTTTGGCCTGGAATTCTCATATGACTAAATTATTGTTGTTTATAATTTGATCCATTGAATCCACCATAAATTGCCAGGCAAAGCGAACTTTTATTAGACAACCATAGCTTCATCAACAAACGTTGCAATGTGTTTAGACGAATGACAACCTGTTTAATAAATTTTAAATGGGCAAATGTGGTCCTAAAACCCATTATAAGGTAAGGACCCCAAATATCTCCAAAACAGGTCATAAGTCACAATTTTGGTTTAACAAAGCTGCGCTTGAATTCTATTAATTTTTGCCACAAGTTACTTTAGAGAATACCAGGTATTCAAAAAAGAACTGCAACAAAGTGCAGAACTAATTAATACAAGAACAATAATCTTCTGAGAAAAATACATAAAGAAAAATGCAAGATTATAAACCCAACATCCTCTCTATATAAATAACTATGGCTACCCCCAAATTATATCTCAAACCCGGTAGAATCGACTATACTATACGTATCCAGCGAGACCCCCGTTACATTTAAAGATTGAAGAATCCTAATGCCAAATACTATTAGCGCTATTAAAAATACACAAAATTCAATTTTCCCTATTTGACTACATACTATGAATAACAAACCAAACTGCAGGGAACTTTTTAGTGTCGTGTAGGCAGCTGCTAGGGGAATTTTTTAGTGTCATGCCATTTCAAACGATCCCTAACGGAGGACACCCACCTCATTGCGAATGATCCTTTGGCCTAAGATCTACCTAGATAAGTCAATCCAATGATAGTTCAACATGTGACCACCTTAATCGGCATACTACAAAAACTGCGGTACTCAACCTGTTACCTTTCTTATCACCCGAGTGATCATTGATTTTGAAATTGTAATACCAAGCTACCATGACGATCAAATTTTCCAGTATCCCCCCACCCAAAGAAAATAAGGTTACACCAAAAAAAGTGACCAAGAAAAACAAAAAGCAAAAATAAAAACATAAACCTCAGGAAAACTCGAAGTGCAATGAGAAAAACCTGAGTAAAAAACACCAAACATACATCTCAACTCCGTCTCCTTATTTTAGAAGACTAAAACTCCCATTAACAACATCAACTAGCAAGAAATACATTGGTCAAAAGCTCCTTTCAAGAAATAACGGTCCAGCCTGCGAACCACTTGGCCAGTTAGACTTTAAAGGCGTAGGAACTAAGACGCACTACTTTTTAACCTTTCAGAAAGCCCAGGGGAACGTTCGTATGGAACTGCCATCTTACATTATTATTGGTAACTCCAAAACTCATGATAACGGTCCTAACTCAATATAAGCTGTAAGGAGTTTGAGCAAAACTAAAAATCTCGGTAATAACTTCATATAACGTCGAAAAGTCTTTTTACTATCACTCAAGGCAAAAAATCCTCATATTTTTCATCCATATCTTTTTGGAAAAAAATGGGCAGAGCCTAACGGGAGAGAAAGTATGATGATCCCTAAGTCACACTTTCGGGCAAACATGGTATAGCAGCCTTTATCTTTATTAATTATTTATCAAACTTTACAAAATTACATATAAGAAAAAGAAAATAAAATAAAAACTAACTAAAAATAAAGCTATATAGTCTCCTAGAAAGAAATTAAAATTAAAAGAAAATTCAAAAGAAAAATCGCTAATACTAACACTTTCCAGATCTCCTCCCTTAATATATTCCAACTAAAGTAGAAGCAACTATGCTAACATAATAACGAATAACGCGCCCACTATTAAAATTGACACTCCATCCTACAAAAGCGGTTATTAAGTAGCACCGTTAGATGATCCATAAAACCCGAAATATGATCAAACCAAGATAATCTATATCGCATCGAGTTTTTTAACCAATCGGTTCCAGAGTCACGTGAATTAACATGGGTCGGAGGTGGTAAAGACGAGTATGGTAAATAAGAAGATTTGGACAAACCTTTAGGCCTTGGAGATTGTTTAAGTTTTGAAGTAATGTTTATCACATGTTTCCATAATCCTTTATCATACGAACGCGAATTCAAAATTCGTTTACGAAATTTGTTGATAAAATTGTTATGTATGGCGGCAACCACATTTATGGCAGTGAGGCGAGATATACCTAAATTTTCAAAAGTTTCCAGAAAGGCAGTAGGCAAACAACCACAGACCAGACTATATGAGGACCAGTTACTAGACGAAAAAGTCCAACAAGGGAGGGAGGTAATTCTATCAAATTGAAAAGAATAATCACAACTGGCATTATCTCCCGCTTCTTTAAGTTTTTGGGTAAGGTGGTGAAGGTACGAGGTTAGAAGTTAATGTAATTTAGTATGACGCTTTTTGCACAAAAATAAGTGTATAAAATCTTCTAAGTGATCTTCACAAGAGCGATAGGTTAAAATCTCTACGTATAAATCAGGTCGTGTCCTTTTCAATGATTCCAAAGTGGGTAAATCTTCCAGGAAAAGTTGAAATTTTAGAGTGTGATGTCTAGAGACATTCTCCTTGGTGAAAGAATTATCAAATTTAGGTTGGAACATTAATGTATGCCAGGTAAGAGCCCAATCAACCATATATTGAGATGAATCCGTAAGGAGAGAAATAAAACAGAAGCAAGAAAGCTCTAAAAGGTCTTTCATATACAACATTTGGTGATATTGTTTAAACAGATGTCTTAGGTTGGATTTACAGATCACGTCATCATAATTCAAAATATAATCATGAACTGCAGCGAGATCAAGACGGGAGATAAGAACAGCGTCTTCAGATGTATGGGCAGTATTGGCAAGAGAATCAGCAAAGTCATTCCAATAAAAATTTGAGTGAGCTTTAACTTTGAAAGGCAGAACTGAAAGATTTTTATCAACAATCAGCTTTTGAATAATAGCCCAAAGTTCAAAATTGGTGGTCTTATAATAAAGACGGGAATCTGAGTAATCAAATAAGAAACAATGTTTCAAACTCTCAATAGAAGATTGTGAATCTGTGTAGATATAAACAACAGAATTTGCAGGAGAGGCTGATAAAGCAGCATAAATAGCAGCAACTTCAGCACGTAAAGAAGAAGGCCAATCGTGAATGATACCGCATTTGTAAGTGGCAATAGAATTAAGAAAGCCAGAATCTTTGACAATTTGAACCCAGCTCCAACCCATAGAGACATCTTTAGATCCTAAATTAATAAAAGAACCATCAGTGTAAAAAATATAATGTGAGTCTGAAGAAGGCACAACCGATGATGATGTAGCAACATTGCCAGCCGTGAGCAAAGGAGGAACAGATGGAGCCATGTAAATGGTATCAATGGAAATATTGGGAGTATCAGCAGCAAGTACTGAGCGAACTGAGAGGATACAGTTTGAAGTAACAAAATCCATGATTTCACCCATGACACTATGGCAGATAAACAGAATGTGTGACTCGTAATAGATGATTTCTTCATAGGTAAAATCCATGAGTGACGAAGATAGGCCGAATAGGAGCAAGACACAGAGCTAGTAGCAACAGATTTCTTTGAGTAGGAAGATTTATTTATATTCAAGTTGCAGCCAGGACAAGGTTGTAGAGTAATCAAGTCGCTTGGACAAGATAAGCAGTCTGAAGTCCAATGTACAATAGTACAAGTGGAATGCTTGGGTTGGATCTGAATCTGTTTACCGAATATAGGAAGGCCATCATCATTCATCGTGATAATCCAATTCTTCTTATAACCAAGAGGAAAAGTACAAGGAGCAAGTTCTTTTGCAAGCTGGCTCACAGGGCGTTGTTCAGTCATAAATCGCTCTTGCAATAAACCAGGTTGATTCAGGATGGTAACATTAAAAGAGAGATTCTTGTACCAATTAGGTATACATGCTGCCCAAATTATTTTTGGATGCTATAATTATAATTTGGGATGCCATAATTCATTCGGTTTATATATAATTTACTATGTAAAGTGCCAAAATAATTTGGGATGCTATAATTGAATTTGGGATTTTACTTATAATTACGGCAGTCCAAAATAATTTGGGTGGCATGTATACAATTAGGTACACAGGCATTACCACGTTTTTGAGTAGAGTTAGTATAAATAACAGACCAAGAGAGCAGATGAGTTCCCTGGGGTGATAAAAGTTGCGACAAATAAAATAAACCACGTCGTCGAAGTCGAGTCAAATTGGTCTTGAACATATCCAGAGATAGGCATTGATATATCGGAATATGACCATTAGGATAAGTTAAATCAGGCACAAGTGACAAATTAGCGCGTGACAAATGGAAGGGAGTGGTGATCAGGGAGGCTAAAGTATTAGCGATATAATCTTGTTTAAAAATATTGAGAGAAGACCAATAAGACCAGTCTTCAATTATCAAAGGAGAAATAGTAATTAAACAATAAAATTGAATAAACCGCAACCTATAATTAAAAAGAGATTTCATAAAAAGGGAAAAAGAATTTGCTAATAAAAATAAATTAGTAAAATGACTCTGTTGTTGAAATGAAAATAAATTGATCAAACCCAGAGCTAGAGATAAATTTAACACCACATTAGGAACAGTACGTGATAATTTAGCCTTGTGTTTAATCAAGGCACGAACTGAAGAAGTAATAGTGGAGCATTCAGCCTCAGATAAATGCGTGACTTGCATTCGATAATCCAATTTCGGAATCAGAATAGTATTATAAAGATATACCACTTGTTGAACAGTCAATTTTGCAGGGTGAAGAGTTGCAGAAAAAGAAGTACATTCTCGTTTAAGTTGTTGTCAGATAAAATTCCTAGAGCTGTTAATATTAAACCAAACTCCCAAAAAACGGAAAGATGAAGACATAGGGATAGGAGTAACAGTAATGTTGGGAGTAATGTTAAGTGACGAAGTCATTAAATTAAAGGCTATAGGAGATAAATCTCGAGAAGCGGCAACTGCATTGGTGGCTAAGACATATTTATTATGGTTGGTTGAAGTATTGTTTAAACAATAAAATTCTTCAGTAATAAACAACATATGTTCCATTCCTTCTTTAGAAGAAGAGATCAAAGTAGAATCATCCATAAACACCAAATTATTAATTTCTAGAACATCAAGAGAGCAAGAATTTGATAAAACAGCATAAGAAGCCATTGGAGAAACCAAACGATAAGAGTCTTTCTTCTCATTTTTGAGAGTTGTAAGCAAAGGGTCTAAATAAATAACCCATAAAAGCGGAGAGATAACTTCACCTTGGTCTATTCCAATTCTAACTCTATATGGCGGAGTAGGGCCATGTGCAGTAATAACACGATTAGAACGTGACATAAATAAAGAGAGTAAGAATTGAATAGCATTTTGTGGTAGGCGTAAGCGTTGAAGAGCAAAACGCAGCATGAATAAATCTACAGAATCAAATGCTTTCGAGATGTCTTGAGAGAGGATCCATAAGGGTTGTTTAGTAATGACTGAGTCATGGATGATGGATTCCAGAGTAATAATAAGATTACGGCAGGAACCTTCAGGTAAACCTGCAAAATTACCACCTTGAAGAACATGGTGGGAGGCAAGCAGAACTGCGAGACGATTGTAAAAAAGCTTAACCAAGGCCTTGCGAATTACCTCCAATAAAGTAATAGGACGTGTATTTTTAAGTTGGCATTTCCATTCGTGCGGTTTGGGAATAGGAAAGACAGTAGCTTGTCTCCATAAATCTGGAATATTTGCGTCTGATAAACAGGCGCAAATTAAGTTGAAAAGCAGAGCAGAAGCAGAAGGACCTAGGTGTTTTAACATCTCATATGAGATCATAGAGGGTCCTGGGGCTTTATCATTATTAGGCATGAAGGAAATTGTTGAAGACCATTCGTCAAGGGTAGGAGGATCCATAAGCGAATCAAAAATATCTGGAGAGACATCAGCAAGTGGCGCATAAGCATTAGACCATCGTTCAGGTAAATCCTGTATGGAAAAAGGAGGAGTGGAAGTAATTGGAACAAAATTTTGAAAATGTCCAATAACCTCTTGATCAATGGCATCTGGAGAAGTCAACAAAGTAGAGTGTGTTGAATGATCAATAAAAACACGATCAAGGACGATTCTCTGTCTAGTCCGTGACAAAGCAGAATCAATAAAGGTGGAAATATCATTGGTGAAATTGTCATTCCGAGCATCAATTTTAGCTTGAATAGAGGAAGCTTGAAATTCTTTCTCTTTGAGCAAAAGTAAGCTTTGCAAAAGCAAAGTCATATTTTCTAACATTTGAAGCAATTTAGCAAAATCATCAAATCTTTCATCTCGAAGAATAGAAGGAAGAATAATAGGCGTAACAAAAGTTTGTTTATAAAGAGATAATATATTGTTAAGACGTATATAATATGAAGACCACTTGGTTTCATAATGCATAGAGTATAAGGTAAGGGTCCTATGAAGGAAACGGATAGTCTTAGCCACTTTAGACAAAAATCTATAAGACTGGCATAAACTTTCCAAGTCTTTAGGCTTCTTTGGAATATAAATATTGCCCACAGTAACTGAAGGCAATGTGGAATTAGCGGCTTTGATAATCCTAAAATGAAGATATTCACACTTCTGATTGAGAGGCCAAGCGTCAAAAACAAGTGGATCAATTGGACATAATTTATCCAAATCATCAGCAAAAGCAGTCCACTGTTCAGTAGAAGTAGAATCATATTTAAAAACACGTCGAGTATTATGACCAAGTTGACGAGCTTGTGCAGATTTAATAGCATCTGATAATAATAAAGCATCAAAATATGTAATAATAGGGTTGTGGTCAGAAATGTGTAAATCATGAGCATCAAAAATAGATGCTGTTAACATATATTGACGAAGGAGTGGACAAGACCAAACAAAATCAATGCGGGTAATAGTATCCAAATGGTGATAAGTACCTAAGGTACCGGATAAATTAAAAGGGGTGCAATCCTCATAATTATGAGAAAGCAAATAATGAAATAATCTGTGAATACGTTTAGCAGCAACCTGAGGTTGGTGCAAAAATACAGGGTAATATTTCTCCAGATTCATATTAAAATCACTGCAAATAGCATGATAAAAATTTTGTGACACAGGTAGAAAGCTGACCAATCGGGTACCATCCCGATTGGTCACTTTTTTTTAAATAGTCATTTAATTTGTTCAATAGTTAGAAATTGGTGTAAACTTTCGATCAGGTACCAATCAGGTTATTACCCGATTGATAACTATTGTTTAGTTTAAATTTAAAATTACCAATTTTATAATTTATAAATTTATAAACAATGTTTTAATTATATTGAAACTAAATTTATTAATCAGTATTACTAGAAATATGAATTTACCGATTTAAAACTAATCATAACATTATTACAAATGAAATTGTCTATTGATAGGTATGACTGCCATATAAGTAATCAGTTTTTGGTCTCCTATTGTAAATTTACAAGGTAAAAATCGGCTATATATATTATGAATCGGTATAATACAATCTCTTGATAATTCGTGAAAATAATCTTTCCACAATTCAATATTACAGCTTTTATCATCCTGATTGTCGATTCTGCAATGAAATCTTGTTTTTTCCCTCGGTACCCACATATACCATTTTATAAAAGCAAGTCGATGTGTCTTTGCACCGGTTGGAAGCGGAACTGTGTGCTCAAAATAAAACTGCACTTGTCCGGGAAAAATATTGACAGATTCATCATCTTGTATAAACTTGCTTGTGACATATGAACTTCTTTGATATCGAGGTGCAAGTGCAGATCCAANGGCAAAAATTATGCCGAAAGCTTTTAACGGTCAAAAGTTTTGATTTCGACCAGTGTATGGATTATTTAAATATAAATATGATTAAATCAAAAAATAAAAAAAATCTTAGTTTGATTTCAATTAAAAATAATTGAAAATCATGTATATGTTTAATTGTTTTAAATATAAATATCAATATATCATATTTAAAAATAAAACAATTTATTATTAGCACATTCTATTGAATTTTAAAAAAATCAATTTTTTTTTTAAAAAACAAAATCATCAATATATCATATTTAAAAATAAAACAATTATATTCTGATTAAATATTTTGCGTACATTTCTTAAAAAAATCATAAAAAAAATCTTGTACATCATACATGCAATTAAGAATGGGTTCGCAAATGATTTTCAAATTCCGCAATATTGCAGATTTTGGAGTTGAATTGCGGTTAGTAGCCCACAATTCTGCAATTCTAATTGCTAGTACCCATAACTATCAATTTTGTATATTTATAAAAATGCCGGAACTATGGGTCTGTCTCTTATACACATCTAGATGTGTATAAGAGACAGAACTTATACCGATTTATATATATATTTACCTAATAATCCGTTCATTCTTTCAAACGAGTAACACCAGAAAGAATATAATGGGCCATAATCATGGCAACAATCGACAATATGGAGTGATAAATGGATGTTTGGAGTTATCATCTCTTTTCCGTAATATGTTTCAATTAAACGAGCTACTTGAAGCAATGAGCTTCACGCAATGCATTGGTGGTGATAATTCGATAGACAAGCAAAGAGCAAGCTCTTACAAAATTTGCTAATATTTCACGATCGGAAGTATCTAGGAGATATCACATCAATAGAGTCGCGTAAATTAAAATAAACGATTTCCATTGATCGGCTGTAAATCCAGAAAACCTTTCCCCAGTTGCTATTTTATACGGAATCCTTCTGATATCTGCTGGTACTTTAAGAGCTTTTGCTCTTCTTTCCATTAATTCAAGGTCCTTTTTAGTGATTTTTCCGCTATCTATCCATAATTTCTTTACGATCCAATAAGCAATCTCCAGGAATAAACAGTGCATTGGATCGACAATAAGATGTCTTATCAGGTTGAAATAAGGCAATCTTAGCATTTCTGACCACCACACGTGAGTGTCGGAAACATGTTTTTTTCTTTCTTCCTGAGTTCTGCACTGTCTCCAAAGTTCGGCATTTTGTCGATGCTCATTTGGATCTCTGGAAATGTACCAATCATCTATATCGTCAAACCCACCAAAATTAAACCTTCTTCTGCTGCTATTGGCTGTTTTGTAGCATCGATGACAACCGACCAGTGCCGAAATATGTCCACATAATTTTCTAGCAGCTGGTATGTCATTGCTGCAGCAAATTACGGCCATCCAAATTCTTTTACCAGATGGTAGATTGACGCCATCCCAGAATTCTAACAATTCATCGACAATTGGACTAAGAAAATGATTAATCTTGTGTAATTTTACTTCTTCCGGTCCTGGGAGAAGTCCAAGATATAGCATGTTTTCTCATTTAAATCTAATATCACAGGAAAGATTACATATGACCCCATAGATAACACCAGAACTGTAAGCTAACGAATTAAATGGCTGGAACCAGTCTAAATTAATCATGATCCCAAGATTAGAATCGGCCATCTCATTTATAAAAAATCGAGTATCCGGGTTGTTTAAGGAAGATGGAAAGCTTTTCCATACATCTCCATCGTAAATATCAGTGTATAAACCTGGTTCATTTCTCCGATTTGTCCATTTCTGAAGTGATTCTTCAAAGCCTGGGCGTTGATACATCACAGTCAATTGCTTTTTCAATGATGGTATCGGATATAACATTCTGGGTCTTCAGACAAATCCATTAACTACCGAGACTTTATTAGTTAATTCTGTTCCACATATCCGCCTTTTATTACGCATAGGATGGTTAGGAAATTCCACATGAGTGCATTGGAATCCGGTATTTGTCTCATTTTGTGGATTTCCTGGCAAAATTTCTGATATTTTATACAGAGTGTTGCATTCAGGACATACCGCACATGTTCTATTTCGTTTATTAATTCCTAAAAGTTTTTTTGCTATATAAAAACTTGTAGGCAAATTTTCAAAACGTGTTCGATCAGTATCCAATAATACCATCCTGAAAAACTTAATAAATGACTCAATAGCAACATCCGGAATACGAAATCTCGCTTGGTATTTGAATATCCACAGAAGTATCCACGAATCATTAAAATTAATGTTCGTGTTAAAATATTTATGGTCTGACTCAAGATCATTAAAATCGGGAGCGGTAAATTCTTCAATCGGAATATCGTCCTCATCTGTAGTAGAAGCTCCATCATCATCGCTCGGTACTTTATCTTCAAGTTGAACTGGTTCCAGTTTAGTAGGTTGTTCAAGATTTATATCACGAAACTTATTGTGGCGTTTTCGTCTTTTCAGTCCATCAATCGGCTTATTATCAATTTCATTATCATTTTCATCATCATCATTTCGTTCTGATTCTTCACCATCGTTTTGTTCTGATTCACCATCATCGTTTCGTTCTGATTCTTCATCATCATTTCGTTCTGATTCTTCATCATCATCGGTATCTGATAAATTCTCAACGACTCTAGTTCTTCTTTTTTTTCTTTCTTTAGAACTGTTGCTAGAATTGCTTTTTTTTCTTTCTTTAGAAATGTTATGTTTTTTGCCGGTTCCTCTTGATCGAGAAGCTTGAGATCTG